CCACCTACGATGATATGACCCTGATCGTCATTCCACCTCTGCCCTTGCTCGGTCTCTTTGCGAGCTTTCTCAATCCTCCTTGCAGCCTTCTTATCCGCCGATTTCTTAGCCTTAGCTGCGTTCCTCCCAACCTTGTTCAGAGCCTCCTGCTCGGTATCCTTAGCCGCAGGATTCTCTGGATTCCGAAAACTGGGAGACACTAGGGCAGATTCTAGATCAGTCGACAGATCCTTAAAAGTGACAGACTTCATCTTCTCTCGTCGTCGGGAGCGTCGTTCAAGCGCAACTGAGAAATAAATTAAAAAAGAGTCAGATCGAATGAAAGCCCCCAGGTGTCAAAGCAGGTTTAGAAAAAGTAAAAAAGAGTCAGATCGAACGAACCTCTTGTCCTCGTAATCCTTTCTTCTGTGATCTCGGGCCAAGTGATCGCGCTGATCGCAGCGAATCGATTGGAGATATCGTCGATATCAAGAGGATCGTCAACGAATGGAAGAGGCCAGTTTCCTGTAAAATAAAAAAGATTCGATCAGAAACAAAAATAACAAGCTACGTTGTATTTCATATCGGTTATGTCTCTACCCATGACCTCCGCCCATTTCATTCTGATCGGGATATCTCTATCTGTGTCGGCGATGGAAAATTCGTTGATTAGCACGAAAAAATACCGATCTCTCCAATCCACCACCTTGGTTTTGTGACCGCCAGTCACGATGTTGTATCGAGTCTTCATACTCGTATAATATGAACCCCGGTTCCTCAAATTGGCCTTCGTACGACGAGTGTTCGTCATAGCATCGAATGCTGCTCGACTCAATGGGATATCATGCCTGGTCGACATCACTAGCATGCTGACAATCAGCCGTATCGTCGCATGGGTAAACTGGCTGATCGGCATTTCTTTGTGGGCAGCAAATTCCAGAAGAAGCCTCGGAAGCGGGAACCACAGATGGAAGTCCGTGAAAAAACATTCGTGGAGACATAGCCATCCTGTAGGAGCATCCCACGGTCGTTCCGACGGGCTCAGAACCAAGAAGATCACCTCAGGACCAATATCGCATTCTTCCTTCAAGGTCACCAGTGATTCCAAGGTCGATTTGGTCGGCATCATCCCGAGAGCATTGTCGCAGATCGGCTTGATTGCCGGCTCCCCTTTTTGCCTCTTAACTTTCTCCACTGGCGGATTCATGTCGATAATTCCGAACTGATTTACTTCATCTTCAACAATGATGGCGTTTAGCTCGTCCGAGATATCCATCTCGTTCGATCCGCCTCTCACATCGTCTTCATCTCGCAACTCGGGAATCTCGAATTCGATCCTGGACGATGTCTCCCCATACCTCTGGACGATTCCAACTTGATCGGCGTGGAACCGATCGGCCGCAGCTTGCTGGTTCTTCTCTCGAACGCGTTCCTGGAATGCACGATCCAACGCCGATAACTCGCTCGCATCCGAGGACCGATCCGACTCTGATTCCACAACGACGACCCGTTTTCCCTTCGATCGGCTTTTATCGACCTGGTCGTCAGCTCTCTTCTGCGCGGATCTGATTTCCTCTGAGCCTGGTCGTCTTTCCCTGATTTGAATGCTTTTACCCATGCTCGATCGGCGTTCAGAACGAAACACGACGGAGGTCTAGTCGGCAGATCTAAAATTCTAAATAAAAAGAGAACAAGAGAAGGGGAGAGAGCAAACCTGATTTTGACAGAGTTTCGCTATAAATGCAGAAGTGAGGAAATTGAAGCCGAGTCCCCCTTATTTTTAGAAATATCTGGACGGTTATCGAGTATCATCATGAGCACGGCGACTCTCCACATTTCTTCTTGTTAAATTTTAATCGGCCTCTTCACCTTCACCTGCTAGGGTTTGACACGTGTCAACCCTAGTTCTGCATGCGTAAACCTAGGCCTAGCCTACGTCATTTTTTAGGCGGGAACTTTTCGCGCCCAAAATCACAATCTAGCCCTCATCATCGCGCCGATCAGAAGTCCAGGTAATAATTTCATTTTTTATTCACTCTTTTTTATAGCCGACCAGAATGCATACCAAGCAATACATCATGAAGTTCACCAAGTAATGTACCCTCACTTGCCAAACTGGGGGGGGGGGGAGGGGGGACTTACTGTTAGAGATGAGATCCGTACCGTCTCTAACAAGCCCAATACGAACTCTGGTCGGCCCGTCTAACAACTTCTAGGTCGGCAACATAAAAGGAATCTTCCATTTATCGAGCGATCTGGGGAAAAAGGAAACTTTTTGCCGACAAGAGTTTCCTATTCCAAGCAGATTGAAGACCGACCTGATCGGCTATAAATATAGGAGGTCCTCGACTCCTCAATCCATCAAAAAAATCATCTATCGAGACCTATGGCAAACTAAGCAATCTGATTGTTCTAGCTTTCGATTTACTTTCTATAAAATTTTAGGTCGGCGTTCTTATTCCGACGACCTAAACCCTCATGTATTCATTCAAGCTCCGACTTCTTCTAATAAAAGACCTGTTTAAAACCACAAACCCTAGTTCTTTCGTAGATCGAATTTGAGTTTTTACAGTTTCATTTTAGTGATATTTTAGGGTAGTTTTCTAGAGTTAAACTCTAAACCTACTCTAATCAAACATGAAACTTAAGATAAAAAAACAAGAAGAAGATAAAACTGAAAGAAAAAACGGAACAGACAGAGATCTTTGATAACGTTGCACAGACGTCGCGTTCGTGCGGTAGGACCCACAAGTGTGTTTTGTTTATTGTTTTATTTTGTTTTGTTTGGACTTTGGAGCGTCGAAACCGGTCTTGTTAGGTTGACATGGCAGTTACGTACGTGTACGCGTGATTATCTCCTAAGTTATGACACGTGTACGGTAGATTCTATATCATCCGTGTGTAAAATCGTCCGATCGAGATTCTCCATTCATCTCTCGATCCGCTTTTACCGGTTTGTCGAAAGATTTTGCGGGCAAGCTAGTTGGTTTGGTCAACGATATTTTCCAAACTTTTGATTTCTCGGATTTAAAATCTCCATCAAATTTAAAATATCGTGTCGTCTCACTCGTACGTATGCTAGCCCGAAAAGATATTAAATTAAATATTGAATAGAGACATTTTCCATTTGTAACATTTGTTCAGTGACAAGGTAAAAAACAAAGAAAATGACTTTGATGACAAAAGAAAAACAAGGAAAGTGACTTTGTACTTTGCAGATAAAAACAAAGAAACTTTATTTCATCTGATGATGGCTTAGTATCTACTTGTATATTTATATCCGATAGATTCGTAACCACCCGAGCTTTTGACCTCTTTCGGTGGCTATACAAACTTATCCAACTTATTTATAAATTACACCTACGTTTGAAACTTAGCACCTATATTCTACATTATTAAATCAGACGTTTTTTGTCATCTAATTATTATTAAGAAAAACAAATTTGAAATACAATAAGAGTTTTTTTTGTTTGGGTTTATGGTTCCTCATAAATTGGCTTTGTTTCAGAAAATTTATCATTATTTCATCGGCTTTCGTACTTTATGATGCAAAAGTTTTAAGCTGAATTTCAATATATATGTAATTCATAACAGAGTTTCAAAAAATATTTCTGTAGTTTTAAGCCAAATTTAACTAATCACGCTTACACGTACGTAACTATGTTTCATGTTTTCATTATCGGATAATTAAGAACTATTTTAAAATATGAAGATTTATAATTTTATGTAGTTATTTAGAATAACTTTCCCCTAAAATTATTTTCTTGTATACTATTTAAGTCACATTTTAGTGTCTCTTAGTCCCAATCACATCCACTTGCTAATGGTTCCCTAACTCTTATTTAAAACAACCATCCTACAGACAGAGGAATTGAATGGGCTTAGTCTCACAGACAGAGGAATTAAATGGGCTTAGTCTCTTGAGTGGGAATAAAACGAATGATGGCAATATTGGCATGCAAAATGATGTGAAACTACAACTACAATGTCATTAAACGAATGTATATCAACTGTCCATAATGACTTTGTAGTTGTAGTTTCACATCATTGTGTACATATTTAAGGACCACAGTGGGATGTTCTGCTGCTGAGCAAATCACGATTCGTCTAGATATATATATTTTTTTAATTGTTATTAAGATGAATCATATAGTTTTAATGAATGGTTATGGTATCCCCCAAAAAAGTAATCTGTCGAAAATAAAAAGATGTTATAGAAAGTTTTTTATGACGATATATTCCATTCACAACAGAGAAATTGCTGAGTGGGGGAATAAGAGAAATGATGGCATGCAAAATGATGTGAAATATCAACAACAATGTCATTAAACAAGTGCATCAACTGTCAACAATTAAGAGCTTTTTTGATCAATAACCATATTTGTAAAATAATAGAACAATATAGCTATGTTATTTGACAAATTAGTAAACTAACCATGACCCACAATCAATTATCAAAAATAACCTTGTACTATATTATACTATATACTATATTGTATATAATTTTATGGAATAGTCCTCTCTTTGATATAGTATATACAGAAAAATAGAGGAAGAAAGAGAAATTTCACAAAAGAGGAGGGGAGAAGAGGAAAAGGGAGGCAAGGAGAGGGAAAGAGAGAAGGAGAGATGAGATAAGCGGAGGTGAACAGAGGAAAGGAAAAGGAAAATGATTAGAAAAAAAGAAAAGATCGTAAAGGAAAGAAATTAAGACAAAAATAAAAGGGTAATTTTGTATATATTGTAGAATATATAATGAATATTATAGCACCTACTTTACTATAGTTATTTCATGAATTTAGCTTAGAAATATGGTCATATGACCCAATTTCTCAACAATTAATATGAATCTAATTTAGTTTTTTTTTTTTTTTTAAAGGACCAAAGTGTGATGTTTTCTTCTTTTCTACTGAGCAAATGACGATTCGTCTTGAATTTGTTAGTGTCGCTTTTTGAATTTGTTAGTGTTACTATTACTCCAATTCTCTAACATTTTCAAAAGCGAGTTTGATCGAACCATATACTTAAAATCGGAGACTAGTATAGAAAAAACTGTATAATCCAATAAATATCTGATCCAAAGAGTATATGTAAAATCAAATGCATTTTTTAAAATGATAACAATTATATAAAACCAAAAAACAAAACAAAGAAAACAGAGCATCAGCATTACGAGACAAAAACTTTATCAAATGCTTTTTTTTTACTCCAAAAAAGTAACCTGTTGATCAACCCTCCAGAAATTTGAGTCGTTAAACTCTTTCACTCCCGAATTCTCCTCTTTGTTTTCGTTCTCCGGAACTTTCTGAACGATGCTCCGCTTCAACGGTCCAGCTTCACCGACGATCCCTTCTTTCAAAGCTTGCTCCATTGCTTTCTCTGTCCCTTCTGGTTCCACTCCAACAAACTCAACATCGTCTTCAAACAATGCTCGTACCGCCGGAGGCGATTTCTGTCCCGAGCTTCTGCTTCCGGATGTTGGGGAACCATTTGGAATCATCACCGGTTCGGTTTTGACATTTAGCATTGGTACATCGATTTGCATTTCAGAAGGTTCATCGTTGTTCTCTGATGTCGGTTTCTCGGTTAGATCATCGTCTTCTTCTTCTTCTTCTCCAACCAGAACTTCATCGTCACTGCTACTGCTGCTATTATTGGCATCTGAGTTTCCGTTCAAGTACACGTCTTCGATCGTTGTGTCGCTGAATCTGTCGTCTTGGAATGTGAACCAGTCCGAACTTGTGAGCAAACTGCTGCAAATTGTTAAATCATAATTCTGAGTTAAAAGAACCAATATGAGAACAAGAAACAAGATAATAAATCGCACCTTCCTTGGTCATCTCCGAGTCTCAAGGATGAAATTACTACTTCAGTAGATTCATCGTCGAAGTGTGCATCCTGTATATAAATATGAAGAAAAAATCCACAATAATGTGAAAACCTATTTGACAAGTACTTAACTTGATTTTGCAAGGAAGAGGGAAGAAGAGTGGAGGACTTACACTATCGTCTCTATCAAGAGTGTTTTGGTCCTGAAACCCATAGAAGATAAAAAGACTTAACTTGGTGTCTGAGTTTATATAGTTTCATATATGCAAGAAAAGTTATAAGTAGAAAAATACCTCTTCATTATCGTCGTTTCCATAGCTTCTGTAGTTAAATGCTTGGCTCAAATTATTGGCCAGAGCTGCAACATCGTAATCCCTGTCTTCCTCATCACTGTCTCTTGTTCTATCTTGTAGTGTGGTTGGGCGCCTGTATATATAATCAAGAAGTGAAATAAGGTCACAATGCAACTACTTCGTTTGCTCATTATGAGAACTGAGAAGCAATAAGGCTGACTATGACCAAAAAGAGGTCTGTTAATCTATTCCCATTCAAGCACATCGACACGTTTTATATAGAGAACTGTAAATTATCATGTCTTTATGAGCCATGAGAATGTTAATGTATTGTTTAGCATAGTGCAGAAGAAAATTTAGAAGAGTCCATATTCATCCATCATTATGAACCAATCTTTATGAGGGTTTAAAATAACCATCCTACTAGCATCTAAGAGTAAGTAATGAACGAAAATTTGATGGTTACTAAATTGAGGCCAAGGATGATACACTGATAAGGGAGAAAAGTTAATGAAAGTACCCGCATGCCCATCTGTACACATTCTCAACAGTGTTGCGCTCCTGCAGAACACTACTTTGCCACTCGTTCCATTCACTGTTTTCCTAATGAATTTGAGAGAGTAAAGTCTCAGTCAATAACACGCCGAAAGTAGAAAGTAGAGCACTCTTGAGGTGAAGCCTTTAGGTGTGCGGTTGATGGATCTAAGTTGTGAACAAATTCCTCTAAAGTCTCGTCAGTGTCTAAAGTAGAAACAAGAACACTCTTAATGCTAAATCCCCCTTTATGCGTGTAGTTGATAAATTTAATTTGTGAACAAAGTACTACGCAGAAGATTGTTTGGTTGTAACACCAACCTGAAGAGATGCCTTTATCAGGCCATTGCTATCACTCAACTGGACAAGTTTATTCCACAGTCTTGTGATATGTCCAACATATCCGACCCGCGGTGGTTTTTTCCCAGTGGCAACCACGGTAGGCTACATCACAGAGAAAAAGTGGCAGACAAATTTGTTCAACAAATGATCATCTGAACAAGAAGACTACGGTTCTTATTTGAGTTCTTTTAGATGATACCAGAACATATATCGATAATCAATTAAATCAAGTGTAAGAAAAAGCGCAGATGGTATACCAGGTTATCACCAGAAAGAACCGAGTCTTTGTCTGATGAAAGAATTTTGGAAATCAGATTGCATTCTTGAAGGATATGGTTAACCATTGTTTCGCTCTTATTTTCCAAACAAGAAAGTATTATACTCTCCACTTGGTGATGCAGAGCGTTATTGTATGGGTACCTTCATGAGTTGTAAGTAATTAACTATCTAACATTGCAAGGATAATGCAATATCCAGATCAAGAGTTTGGAGTTTGGAGTTTAGTAAAACCTTACTCAAAAAATAGTTCAAGGATTCTTTTGATTGTTCCAGAGCTCGCTAATTCTTTCCCAGCAGCTTCATTTCCAGATTTCAACAGAACAGCAATGAATTCTACAATCTGAAAAGCAAACGATATGGCTAACTGAGCCCAACACTCAGCATGAAGATCTACATATAATGATATAAAGAGCACAGTACACATCCAAAAGCCTACAATTTCCTTCTCAGACATGCTTAAGTTTAGGATCTGACCTTCAGACGATGCTTTCCAAGAGGCGGCCTCAGCTCTCCATACGTTGTAGGTAATACTTTGCTGTCAGACGCTACACTGAGAAGCATGAGCATGTCACCTGCAGCAGAAGTGATAAAATCTTGTTCATATGAGGACAATGAAGAGACAAACCTTGATTTGACAAAACTTGCTAGACATTAAATCCTACATATGCAAGTAAGTTTAGGAAGGAATCCCAACAACCATCGAATTCAAGAACTCCCCAATTTCTCAATATCCACATAAAACAAAATGGAACAGACCAAATAGAGTACAATAGAACCATTAGTCACATGGGATGTGCATCTAGCACAAATTGAAATAAAAGAAGAAAAATAAGGCTATTGTTGTTTCATGGGAAGATTTTATATTACAGGAAACCAACTTACCAAGTTTAGGTAGCATGGCACCAATAGTCTCTTGGGTCACTGGGACAGGAGACTCAAACATATTTTGACCTCTGTAAGAATTGAAGAAAGGCGATGAAGCAGCAGATCTCCTCGGATCTAACAGAGAGATGCATACAGTAAGTGAATGAACTAGGCCAGATTTTGAATGTGAATCTTCTATAGCATGACCAAATATCCTAGAAACGAAGCTGCAGAAAGAAGATAGAAGTTTTACCATGTCAGAGTATTGCGTATATCCGCAGAAACCAGTGAAACTCAAATATGAAAGCAAAGATGACAAACCCAGGGCTAGAGAGTTTTGTAGCTAAAGCTGAAGGTGCATTTCGAGTAATTGCACATAATGTTCCTGCTGCATTTGCCTGAACCTCAGGAAGACTCTGAAACAAGTTACAGAAGATTTTAAGAAAATGGGAGCACTAAAAGAGACTGTAAGTGATAACGACAAGACTATCAATGATAAATCCCAGTAACCGGTTTTTTTTTTTTTTTTTTTTTTCATTTGGTAGCCTCTCACGTCGCTAAATTTTAGACCACTGTAATTTATCATCAATAAAGCCTCAAGTCTCGGTTTTTTTTGGAACAACCAGACTAACCAAACTTTTTTGTACTTACAGATGGATTTAGTTTGTCCACAATCATTTCAAGTAAATCACTATCAGCCAAGTATTGCATCACATCCAGAAAGTTGGGATAGACATGATCGTCAGCCCCAACCAAGCGAACCAAAACCTACACAATGTCACACGAAGTTTGTTTGTAAAGACGAACGATGAAGTCACGCCATGTTCTACAGGGTCTCGGACAACCATTTACCTCCATAATGGATGTTATTCCAATCAGATCAACCAACTGGCTAAAAACATTTTGATGCCCCTGAAATCATCAAAAGCTATCTTTAGAAACATAGCTGCTGCAAATATCGCAAAAGCAATCCAGATATTGACACTATAATCGGACATGGTACGTGCATCAAATGGAATATGGTCGCACACCAAGCCGATGTACAATAGAAACAACCATCATTTCAAGATTACAATAGCCAGAAAAAATGCCCTTCCTGTACATTACTACTAGTCGATTCCAGACATCATTTCAGAGAAAATCCATAATCATAATAAAATAAAAAAAAGTTTCAATTCAGCTAAAGCTCAGTGAGCAAACTCACTCAAACTCGATAAAAAACTATGAAGAAATAAGATTTTCAACAATGCAAAGAGATAATCTAAATAGTGATGCAAGAAAAGAGAAAAAAGAAAGGTCATCAGCACTACTAGGATAAAGCGGCTTTACTTACTTTTATATAGTTCATAAGCACTGCAGTCTTTCTGATCATAAGACATATGACAACCTAAATCAAACAGAAACATGTAAGATCACATCAGGCAGACCCTAAAATCAGCTGGCTTTTAAACACACTTCTTATCACTAAAAAAGAGACCTTGCCGAAATAGCCTGCCAGCAACGCACTATGAGGACGATTCGGTTCCAGAAAGGCGAATAGCAAATCCATCAGCTGCAAGATAAGATAAGACCCAACAAATGAGATCACCCTTAACGATTAAAATGTATCAAATTCCAAATAAAGTAGGCAACACTACGAATGAAAAATACCTTCTCATCCTCCACCAAAGTCTTGAGAATAACATCAATTTCACATGTGAATATCTCGCAAGAGATGAATGGAAACCTAAGAGAAGAAGAAGAAGAAGAATCCATCACTAACTTTCCTGGAAATAAAGCATCGCCAGAAACACTCAACAAAAGAAATGCCAGGAAGCACATATTACTTGAAAGCACGTTTGCTATCAGCATCGTCCTGAGGTTCTTCGACAACATACCGCAATAGTTGCTCCACTCGAGCTTTATCCCTTAGACTGTTAACACCAAGTTTATACCTCATCAGAAGCTTTTCCCAGAAAATGCCAATGATGTATCGGAAAAAAAAACAATCTGATGTTTCTTATGTGTAGTATACTACAAGGAGAATCAGCAACATATACAAGATGAAGACCCCACAAATTGATGAGTCGGCTATTCAAAGCTTTGCATTCCTGAATAATCTCTTCCTCGTCAAGAAGTTCTTCCAATGCGAAACTCTCTTTGTCAAGTATCGAGTCCACCTATATTAGCAACAAAACGAAAGAACATGAACCCACGAACAATTCTGAATTTTCCTCAATTGCAATATTATATCGCAACCAATCACAGACTGAATTTAAGAAGAGAATTAGGTCTCACGAGATCACATCTATCTTCACCACACAAAAACAATCATAGAAACCTCCCGTAAACCTTTACTTACAGCTAATCTACTTCAGGAAAATAGCGTCTCTCTAGACAATGAACAAAATGCGAAACGAAAAGAAAGAACCATTCCAGCTTCTTATACCGAATCAAGGAGATCATTAAGGGAAAATCAGAAGACAATCGAACAAGACGATGTAGAAGCGATGAGAAGCAAGAGATGAATGTGTTAAACTCACAGGAGACGATGCAGAGAGAGACGCTAGCTTCCAGAACATGGTGGCGAGGAAAGAGGGAGCTGGGGAGCTTTGCCGTAGAGAAAAGAGGATGATAAGTGTGGGGAGATCCTTCCAAGACTAGAACCTGCGACGGAGGAGTGACGGACGAGCTTCTGAAATCGATCAGTCAATGGTGATGGAGATCCAGAGAGAGAGAGAATGGGATCGGTGTGTGTTTCCTGATATTTTTTAAAAAAATCGAGGCAGAATTTGCAAAAAACAAGGACACAAGTTTTAAAATATTGATATTAAATATCCAAATTTTGTTTTTCTAATTTTGTGTCTATACAGAATTATGGAATCCCAAAGCAAATGAGCCAAATAAACCCAACAACAGTTTTTAAGTTATTGGCAATTTGGCATATAACGATGATACCTTTTCACAAAGGAGTGTTATTCCCTTATTTGGAAACTTTATTTTTTGTTTTATAAAAAATGTGGTTTGGTGGCATTTCCAATGTAATATTTATTTTACATTAACTACATATTTGTTCTTTAATTTGAAACTTGCATCTCTTTTTTTTTGTCAACATAATTTTTATTAAAATCACATTTATTAGATCGTTTGTGATTATTTGTATTCTACAATGTCGTTAATATATATAGTATGATCTTATTAATTTAGAAAAGACAAAAACTATTTATAGTTTCTGTAAATTCTTAAATTTTTAATCAAAAGATAAGTATTGAAATTATTTTTGGGTCTATAAACAAAATACAAAAATATAGGTTGGTGGTTAGTTAACCTTCTAATTTGGTTTAAGTTTTAAGCTCGTGGTTAAGCCATTTCGTCGAGTTCGGTATATTCCTTCTTTCGATCGAAATGACTCACTCTCGCGCATAAACCTTAACTTTCCCACGATCTTCTCTTCTTCTTCCTCTTCTTCCCCGTGAATTGCTTAGGGTTTCCTAGTTTCTTCGACCCAAGCTCCATGTCTTCTTGCGATTTCTTCCTCTCTGCTTAATTCTCAGGTAACACACAAATCTCTTAACTCCTTGGAACTCGATCTGCGTGCTCATTTTATTGGATCTCGTTTCCTATTTGCTTGCTTCTGCTGAAACAAAACCTAGTTGAATTCAAGCCACAATATCAATAAGCTTCTCCTTGGATTCAGTTTGAAGTGTGTAAAAAGAGAGGATTCGATTCGAAAGGGAAAATCTATATTAGTTGGTTTTCACCAAAATTTTAATTGGAAAAACTTTATCAAGAGCCTTAGTTTGATTCATAAATGCTTCTTCACTTCTCTCGATTCCGGCAAATATAATTCGATCTCATGTGATTTGAACTGTTAACATGAAGTATTTAATCTCATTGAGCTGTTTACTGAGAACTTGATTGTCGTTCATTTGAAGCTAATTTGGTTTACCTGGTGAATAATAATACTTCAGGTTGAGGGGGATTAACAAGTAAATTCTAAGATTTTTGTATTCATCCGTTGGTATAGAGAGTGAGAGTGAGAGAGAGTGATGACTTGAGCTGTGATTGGTGTTGGAAAGAAGAAATGAATGTGAGTCATGCATCGGTTCATCCGGTGGAAGATCCTCCAGCTGCTGCTACAGAAGTAGAGAATCCGCCTCGAGTGAGGATGGATGATATCGAAGGGATGCCTGGAACTTTGCTTGGCCTTGCACTTCGTTTCTTCCAGTTCTTGTTTGCTGCTGCAGCACTCTCTGTCATGGCTACTACTAGTGATTTCCCTTCCGTTACCGCCTTCTGGTAAAAAAATATTCTTTTCTTTTCTTCTACCATAGACTTTGACATGAATGTGGTAGCAGTTAGCAAACCTATCTCTCTTACAATATGCTTTAACCATAAACTGGAATCTGTTTGTTGTTTTTGAAAACTCAATACGAAACAAGCGTCAAGTTTGTGGCTTGATTTGATTCGTTGTGAAGCTTGTGAGTCTATTTATAGATTTAAGGCTGATCAGAAGTAACTTTTGAGCGAAATTTGTATGGAAATTTTGATACTTGTGTCAAGTTATGTGATGTAGCTGCTAATTTTTACTGTATATACTTCTTTACACAGATCATTAGACTAGATGAGCTGTCTTTGATGAGTTAAACGTTGATGAAGGCTTATTATATCTTGCTTTTCATGCGGTCACTGTTACTAATCCTGTTTGGCATCATGGTGTCTGTTGGTGTTTACTTTAAGTTTCGCTTAATGACGGGTGCTGTTGTACTTTTGTCTATGGTTCTTCTGTTGCAAATTCTCTAGAATCCATATAAATGAGTCTTTGTAGTAGCATTAAGCTTTGGACAATGTGATAGTTGAATCGACTGCACCTGATGAGTATTGAATGTATTGGGTTGTATTTATATGCTTTATATGATAAAACCAAATGTGGTGACTGTTAGATTTCTCTAAAGCCTGTTTACTGTTTTATTGCTTCATCAGCTACCTAGTTGCAGCTACTGGTCTGCAGAGCTTGTGGAGTCTTGCACTAGCCATAGTTGACGTCTACGCCATTATGGTCAAACGTTCGCTACAGAACCGTCGACTTGTGAGCTTGTTTGCAGTCGGTGATGGGGTGAGAGAGATCACCACACTCCAATGAATCATTTAGCTTTTTCTCAATTTATCAGAATCGTATGAGTAAATAAGCAAATCTGTTTCTCAGGTGACATCGACGCTGACTTTTGCAGCAGCTTGTGCATCAGCAGGCATAACGGTTCTAATAGACAACGATCTAAATAGCTGCGCACAAAACCACTGTGTTCAGTTTGAAACATCAACTGCGTTAGCCTTCATAAGCTGGTTTGCTGCTTTACCTTCTTTTCTCTTCAACTTCTGGTCTCTCGCATCCCGTTGACAAAACAAAACAAACAAAAAAACAGATCGAAGAAGATGCTGCTACTCCACAAGATGCGTTTTCATGGTGTGTTGGATTTGTGGGGGGTTTTCTGTTCTTTCGGTGTATAGTGTGTAAAATGGTTTTTTCTTCTTCGTCTTTCTTATTTGGGTTTTGGATTCAACTTTCTTCAAACCCCAATACCAGGAAACTGGGAATTGTTTTGTAAACCGACTGTATTTTGTTCAACATTGACACGATTTGGTCGGCTTTGGATCGATATGATTGAAAAAATATCAGTTCTTGTAGCTTTAAGCAATGATACTACCTACTATAAAGAGATGGCTTTAAAGAAGTAAATACTATTTATAGTGCAATTGAAGATTCTTCAGGAACGAGATTTATAAAAGAAGAGATGACACAAACAAGCTGAATACGGAAGTGAAACAGGTACAATTCTAGAGAATCCTCCTAAAACTCCCAATATATTACAAATCCTTCTCATTATCATCAAGCTACTCGATCACCCACCGAGTATTACTAAAAAGTAACAATTCTTCAGAAACCAACCTCAAAAAATAACTAAACCCAGGGAGAGATTTTTCTACCAGAGCTTGAGATTCTCAAGTCGCTCTCTTGCTGTCTTCTCTGGTTCTCCTTTCGATGCTGCTCTCTCTGTTTCCTTCGCTGTTGTTGTTTTCTCACTCTCTGAAGCTGTTTTAGCAGCACTTGCTTCTTCTCCAATTTCGAGAGTATCAGGCAAGACTGGTGTTGTTCTTTCTTCTACTTCAATGGCGGGCTTTGCAGGGTTTTGGATATTCACTTTCCTAACAGGTAAAGTCTCTTCCTTTCTAACCGGTGGTGGCGCAGAAGCGAAAACCGGCACGGCGGTTCTGATCGTGACAGGCTGCGCGATTCTCACGGGTGCAGCTCTCATCATCGACGGGACATACAAAGAAGAAGGTAGCTGCTGCTGAGTGTTTGTAGAAGAAGGTGGAGGAGGCATTGGAGGAGCAGAGAAGACCGGTACAGCGGTTCTGATCGTGACAGGTGGCGCCATCCCGTGGCAATGCGAAGATCTTAAATGCCTCATAGGAACATAAGGAGGAGGAGGAGCTACTGTCCCTGGAGTTGCGAATCTCTGCTGTGGCCTGTAGCTTCGGTTTTCGAGAGCGGCTGCTATGGTTCTCTCGATGGAAGCCGCTGATGCTAAGGATCTGGTTCGAGAAGAAGGCTTTGGGCAAATAAAAGGTAAGATTCTTGATGTGGTTGCAGGAGAAGGCTGTGGACTTGTTGGTCTAGGGTTCTGCATAAAGAACTTCTTTGCGAACGGAACCGGTGCGCTCGAGGAGCTTCCCGTGCCGATGTTTTCCTTGATACGGTAGTTTATCAAGGCTCTTGCTATAATCACCTGTTCTAGTTCGTCAATGTTCTCAGGCTCAGGCATTGAACTTGAAGTTTCTTTTGCCACTGTTTACCCAAAACAAGAACCATAAGAGAGAGGGAGATCAAACACAAGCAGAGATACATTTTGAAGAAGAAGGGAACTCACGTTGTTTTAGAGAAGACCAAGCAGCCATAGCAGCGTTCTTCTCCGCTTGCTTCTTGTTCTTAGCCGAATCTCCGGTGAATGTGATTCCGGCTAATTCTACGGTGCCGGTGAACACAGGCTGGTGTCCAAGACCGGACCTGAAGGTAGTGTATCGTGGAAGAGGAGCTCCCACTCTTTGAGCTATCTCTTGTAACAGATTCTTGTACACACCAGTCTCATCCTACACGAACAGAGCCACACAGAACAATAAAAAGCATCAGAGACCAATGTTGATGCCATAACATTCAACATAAGGAAGCATGCATCACCAAATAGAATCTGAGCACTTCATTGTTCAATCTCTTCCTTTTCCCTAATCAATCAAACCAAGAACAAGATTCAAACTCTGGATCCATAGATCATTTAACCTAAATCCCTAATAACTTAACCACCGACTAAACCCATCACTGACCTAATAATATTCATAGCTCTATCGCTTCGTCTTGGCATAAACGAAATGCCCCTAAATCAATCAAACACACCAAATGGCCAAGAACAAGATTCAAACTCTGGATCCATAGATTCATTGAACTAATCTTAAATCATCCAGTTCCACTTACAAACCCCAAATCACCGACTAAAACCCATCACTGACCTTGAAACCACATGCAAAAATTCGATACAAACCCCAAAATCGGAAGCTCAAAAAACTCATAGAAGAATGCGAGAAATCAAGAGTGAAGTGAAGCGAAGCAGAAAATCAAAACTAACCAAGATCCTAGCGGCGAGAGAGTGAGAAGGGCCACGATTAGAGAGGGCATTGAGAGCAACTTCAGCAGCAGAGTGTTCAGCTTGACGGAGAGTAGAACAGTACTGAGGACTCTCGAAGATCTCGCCGTTGAAGTTAACCGTAGCCTTGAATCTCGGCGCGTGGTCTGGGCCTTCCCTTATACAAGTATACGATGGGAGGCCGAAGCAGCTCCTCTGCGCAAGCTCCTGTAGCTGATTCTTGTACATTTTTTTCCGAAACACGAAGAACACACAAAAAATACGAACTCCGATTTCGGAGAGATCAAAGCTTCGTTTTAGGGTTTTGTTTCCATAATTAGGCTTCTCCTTCTTCCAATCATTGATAAATCCCGAACTGGGTTTTGCTTGGTGGGGTTGTTAACAGGCCAGAGATGGCCGGAATGGAGATGAGGAAGACGAAATCGGAGGAAATTTAGGGTTTTTGCAGAGAGAGAGGGGAAGAAGAGGGGAGAGAGAGAGAGAGAGAGAGAGAGAGAGAGAGAAGTGTGTGGGGTTTTTCTTATTAATGAATTATAATTAATGGAGAATTTATTATCTGCTTTATTTGCTGGTAGTCAACTGAACGTTAGCCTGCATGGATGTGATATTTTTAAAAAATATAGTTGTATATTATACATTTCCAAATTTTTTTAATGGAAATGTCTGTATTCAAAATTAGACTAGTATGTTACTTAAAAAGGGATGTTACCGGCAAAATACGAATTTTAAATCGGGACTAATCCTATGGTTTTAGATTGGTTGTTATGTTGGATTTCTATAAATCCAAATGTTGTTAAAACCAGATAGAAAGTTACCAAAAAAAGCTATTAATCGAATGATTCAAAAACTGGATAATTCTGGTTAAATAAGTTTTCCTAACATTTTACAAATGACAAATTATTAACGGTCGAAAAAGAAATTTTGCTACAAAATTTAAACATCATATAGATGATATTTCTCGTCTTATGATTTTCAATTAATAAAATGCTAACATTTATATTGATTTTTTTATATATGTATGCGTGTGATGTGTAGGACATTCTCTTGTTGAAGATAATTACAATTCACTTAATATATATTTCATGATCTTTTTATTGTAAGGTTTCGAAAGACTTTGTTTGGTTGATGTACATTTTTGATTCGTTTAATGTCTTTAAGGATCATTCGATTCTGATTTAGAGATAATCTTGACACTTTCTATTAGAACAAAAGCATTCTCCCCAAATTAGATATGCTTTTGTTTTTTAAGGCATTTTAACGGTAAATTTGTATTGGACCAATACAATATAGAATTAGTGGAAAGTCGTATTCCAATAAAAAGGAATATGAAAAATATAGAAAGAAAAAAAACAAACAAATACAAAAACAGCTGCAAACCTAAGAAGTAGTGCATGCTTTATTTTTCTCGTATAATAAATTAATATGTTCACACATCAATCAAAAGAATAATTTTAGCTTTTGATCTAATTTTGAAATATGTCCACACAAGTCAATGGGTAATTGTGAACTTACCAAAAAGACCTATATCGTTTAGAGGGAGATAAGGGACAGTCTCGTAATAAACAGTCTGAGTGTTTTGCAGTAATAAAAGGTGGAATTCATAATCATAGTTAAGCTTAGTGGCCAACATTAACTTTTTTTTTAATTTGTTTTTGTTTAATTTTAATCTCCTAAAGTTGATGAAGTTTGACTGATCATTCCATCACACATCACCATTCGTCTGCCGCATTAACTTGTACTAACTAGTCTTTTCTTCTTTCTTACTATTAACTAGTTTTACAACTTCATTATCGTGCAATGCACACAATTTACTCTCTTTTTCTAACTATGAAAAATAATAACAAATTTTATGGTAAGATTAAAAGCATAATTTGATTTTCGGTTAGATGGTTGTGTTGGTACATCCAGCCCCGGCCCAACATAAAAATTGGCCATTGGGTCAAAAAATTTTTTAGCTCATTTATTATCAATAAATGAATATTTTTAGAAAATTAGACTTCCATTATGAGTGTTTTAAAAAAAAATCTGACCCCTTTTATATGTATTTTTAAAAAATATGGGTCTTTTTTTACATGTAATTTTCTGAAAAAAAATCATGGACCCCTGGACAATGACACATTTGCATAACCCTTCTGGGTCGGGCCTGGATACATCATACATGTTTAATGTATAGCTAAACAAAATATTGTTATACGACATCACTCAAACCCTGACATTAACATTTTGACAACATGACCACTCACAGAACTCGGGTTACAAAATTCTAAATGTTGAACCAGAAAATCACTACTAGAGTTTGATTAACAGTTGTGGGTTTTGGAGAATAAGATTTTTTATTAATAGTAAGAAAGCATAGCGATTACAAAGAAATGTATAACTGAGAGGTTATGCCGAAGTGAAAACAAAGTTTGCGAAGTAAACTAGAAAGCGTTGGAGTCTCTGGTTTTAGCTCTGCTGCTCTCTAGATTGTATGAGTTGTTCTTTCCGTCTTCGAGACCTTTGTATTTATAGGAATGGGAGGTCGGTTGCTCCGAACTCCTTTTCCTTTTCGCCTTCTTGTATATTTCCATATCTCAGATATGGAAATATCATCTATTCTCCGAAAAGTAAGGAAATTCTCCTTTATCCTTTGGATTAATCCGATGTTTCCGGTTTTCCACAATTATCTTTTAAGAGTTTTCCTTTATTTCGAGCTAGGTCGGCGCGGTCTTCCTAGTCTTGATGGGCTTAGGTTATTGCGGATAAGGCCTTTTAAGAAATGTGCTCATTTCCCCTCTAACACTAAATCACGTATTTTTTATATAAGAAATATTCATTCACTGTTTATAGTGAAAAAGTATAAAGAGAAATAAATGAATAAATAAGTTGATAAAGATCACAAAAGCTAAACCATCTACACAAACCTGAAACCTATTATGTCCTCACGTCGAAAAAATATAGAAACCCAACAAAAACAATGATCTTCGACAAACAACTCTCAGAAACCAACACGTGTATTCTAAACTCGAATTCGGGTCGATGATAGATATCATTAAACAATACAACTCTTATAATAAGTAAGATAAACTAGACTAGAAAGCCTTTTTTTGGCTTTGAATAGGTATATAGAACAAATGCAGATATCGTATTTCACCCTGGTTTTTATTTTGCGCAGGACCTTCCTTTTCGTTTAGAGTGTCTCATTCTATCAACTAAAGGGCTGTGTGGCTGATAAGGAAACACATCGTCGAATCTTATCCAAATTTCTCTCTTTTTGGTTTTTTTCTAGATCTGAGCATTTTCGTTCAAGAGTTCTGGTGGTTTGTAGAGAATTATAGTGATTTATGCGGTTGTGTTGGAGTGGTGAGTGTGCCTTCGCAATAAGTTGTGTTCATGTCATCGAGTATTGATAAAGCTCTAATGGATCTGTCGCTTGATGAAGATGAAGTTCCTTTCGATCTTCCAGATTTACCTCAGTTTATTTCGAGTGGAAATAATGGAAATAGTATTCTGGGGCGCCTGCTTAATCCCGAGCAACAGAATATGTCAAAATTCATTCTGGAGATGCCGAAAAAATGGAGTAGCCCTCTCAAGAGATCGTTTTCAGTTTTTTTTCAAGAATGAGCATGATATGGAGGAGATTCTGACAACAGAAGTGTATTGTTTCAACGAATGGTCCATCATCTTTGATAGATGGGTGGAGTATCCTCCTGATGATTTTCTTAGGTTCATGCCAGTTTGGGTACAAATGAAGAACATCCCGGTGAATAACTATACTCTTGAGACGATATACGTCTTTAATCCTATACGTTGGAAAGGTGGTTGAAGTCATCTTTAATCCTTCTCAACCTCAGAGTCTTCACTATATAAGAGTCAGGGTAATGTTAGATGTTACAAAACCCATGAGAAGATCCAAACTCATCAATCTCCCGTCCAAAGCTCAAACCACCATTTTTTACTTCTATGAGAGAATTCAAAAGAGATGTCTTGCTTGTCAGATGTTAACTCATGAGAAAGAGAAGTGTCTGAGGTTGATAAAGAGAAATCAGGATAAAGCTTTGGAGAGAAGACAAAAAGGGTTAATTGCTGCCAAGAACCTTCAATCCATTCTGAAGGAATCGGACCCCCTCTTTGGGGTTCTTGAGGAGAACCAGGTCGGTTTAGACCCTGTGACAGGAAGACTGCGCATAGCGAAGGAGGTTCTTGATGAGATGAGGCAGTACTTTGCTGGAGCCGAAGGACCCGAAAGAAAGGCGAGAGAGCTCAGAGTCAAGAAATCTGTGGATGAAACGATGGCAGATCCGTTCGCTCAAAAGACTCTCCTCTGTTTAGAGTCACCTCCGATTGTGTCTCCTGCGTTGGACAAAGGAAAGGGTTTAGTTTTCGACTATTCGGAGAACTCGCAGAAGATTAGTACTGGTAAAGAGGTGGGAGATCCGGCTAAACTTTTGTCTGCTGCCATTAGAGCGGGAAGTGTCTTAGAAAGACTTTCTTATCCTGAAGACACTCACTCTGAGGGTATGGCAGCAAACTTTCGGGCTCCCTTGGATGCGTTTCATTTCGGCTCTACGGTCAGAGCTAGCTATTCAGAGGCTGGCTCCTCCGGAGCTTATCTGAAATCAGGCAAACCACGCAAAAGGCCGTACAAAAGCAGGAGGAAAAAGGCAGATATGCTGGCTCTTTCTACATTGGAACCAAAAGTGGATGAAAATCCAAAGAAAAAGACTAAGCGCAAGGCAGAGGAGGTGGAATCGGTCGTTAGCGATGATACTAGGCATATCAAACAATTGGTGGTCCCAAATGAGGGACCGTCCAACCTCCAATGAGTATCCTTGCTTGGAATTGCCAGGGCTTGGGGCGGCCTCAAGGCTTGACGATTCCTCGCCTCATGGAGATGCGTAAAAAGCTTTTCCCGGAGGTGTTGTTCTTGATGGAGACAATGAATAGTAGAGATGCGCTTGTAGATATGCAGGAATGGCTTGGATACGATAGAGTATATACGGTGGAACCGGTGGGAAGTTGTGGGGGTCTAGCTTTGTTCTGGAAAAAAGGTGTAAATATTGAGCTTTTGTTTGTAAATAAGAATCTGCTGGATTTTCAAGTTCAGTATGAGGCAGTTTCTTTTTATGTTTCAGCAGTTTATGGTAATCCTAATCTTTATGGGCGTGCTGAGGTTTGGGAAAGGTTATCCAGGATTGGTGTAAATAGAGTGGACTGTTGGTGTATGTTAGGAGATTTCAACAAGATTTTACACAATGGTGAAAAAATGGGGGGTCCAAGAAGAAATGAGGCTTCGTTCTGGCCTTTTGCTGACATGCTCCGGGCATGTGAAATGACAGAGTTAATCAGTCATGGAAATAGTTTTACTTGGGGTGGTTGGAGATATGATATGTGGATTCAATGCAAGCTTGACAGATGTTTTAGCAACAAGGAATGGTTCAAAAAGTTTCCTCTCTCCAACCAATCCTTTCTTGATAAGAGAGGTTCCGATCACAGACCGGTGCATGTAAGTCTTATGGCCTCCCAAGACGTTTACATAGGATAATTTAGGTTTGACAAAAGACTTCTTTTCAAACCATTAGTCAAAGAAACGGTGGCTAAAGCTTGGTTAGGAGTGACAAGGCAGGGTTATGTCTCAGTGGCAGAGAGGCTTAGGAGTTGTAGAAGATCTTTGAGTGCTTGGAAAAAGCAGAATAATTTTAACTCCCGAGACAAGATTCAAGTTCTGGAAAGAGGTTTAGAAGCGGAGCAGTCTGCCGGTTATCCTTCCTCGCGTAAGGTTTCCTTTCTGAAAAATGAGCTGTGCAAGGCTTACAAAGAAGAAAAAGTTTTCTGGCAACAAAAAACAAGAACAATCTGGCATAAAGTGGGAGATTCAAACACAAAATATTTCCATGCCTCAGTCAATGCGAACAGAAAAAGGTTGAGATTAGAAATTCTTATTGACACGAATGGGGTCGGTCAAAAATCAGAAGCGTCCAAAGGTGAAGTGGCTTGTCATTATTTCAAAAATCTCTTCAAATCTTCCAATCCTTCGTGCTTCGATTGCTGGTTTCAAGGTTTTGAGAAGAAGATTACTCCGGATATGAATAAAAAACTTACTCAGACTGTGACAGTTTTGGAGGTCAAAGAAGCCGTGTTTTCTATTAAACCATCTAGTGCTCCGGGGCCGGATGGTATGACAGGTCTTTTCTTTTAATCGTATTGGGACATCATTGGTGAGCAGGTTACATCAGAGATAAGGGGTTTTTTCTCTTCGGGGGTTTTTCCTAGAGAATGGAACTTCACCAATCTATGCCTTCTTCCAAAGGTTGAGAATCCGATGAATATGAAAGATCTGAGGCCGATTAGTCTGTGCTCCGTCCTCTACAAGATTATTTCCAAGATCATGGTCAAAAAGCTTAAACCGTTTCTGGATCAAATTGTTTCGGTCAACCAATCAGCCTTCGTAGCGGACAGGCTCATTTCAGACAACATAATTATCGCTCATGAGATGATTCATGCCCTGAAGTCTCACCACCAAATCTCGTCTGAATACGTTGCTTTGAAGTCTGATATGTCCAAAGCGTATGACAGAGTTGAATGGAGCTATCTGAGAGCTCTTTTAAAGGCGCTGGGGTTTGATACCATCTGGGTTGAATGGGTGATGTTCTGCGTCACTTCTGTCTCTTATTCAGTTTTCATCAATGATCAGCAGCATAGCTTTATCATCCCTGAAAGAGGTTTGCGTCAAGGGACCCCCTGTCTCCTTTTCTTTTCGTTCTTTGCACTGAAGGCCTATCACATCTGCTAAATCAAGCTGAGAGAGGAGGATACATAGAGGGAATGAGGTTCTCGGATTCAGAGCCATCCATTCATCACTTATTGTTTGCGGATGATAGCCTTTTCATTTGCAAAGCCAATTGGTTTCAGTGTCAATCGCTTAAGAACATCCTCAAAATTTATGGAGTTGCGACTGGACAAACGGTGAGTTTAGAGAAATCTTCCTTAACCTTCGGGGACAAAATAAAAGTTGAGATGAAGTTTCAAATTAAGGAAGTATTCAGGATTTACAATGAAGGAGGTGCAGGCACATATTTGGGTCTCCCGGAATGTTTTAGCGGCTCTAAAGTAGAGCTTCTGGCTTTTTTAAAGGAAAACGTCAATAACAGATGCTCTAGTTGGTTCTCAAGAACTCTGTCTCTCGGTGGTAAAGAAGTCCTGCTGAAATCTGTCATCTCTGGTATGCCTGTATTTGCCATGACTTGTTTCAAATTACCGAAAGCTGTTTGTGTAAATATTTCGAGTGCGATGGCATCTTTTTGGTGGAATTCAATGGAACACAAACAGAAAATTCTTTGGAAGAGCTGGGACAAGATGTGTCTTCCCAAATGTCAAGGAGGTATGGGGTTTAAGGATTTGGAATGTTTCAATCAAGCTCTTCTAGCGAAACAAACCTGGAGAATTATGCAAGAACCGGAGACTCTTATGTCCAGGTTTATGAAAAGCAGGTATTTTAAGGATGAGATTATGATGGAGGCAGGTTTGGGTTCGCGACCCTCTTATGCCTGGAGAAGCATTTTGTTTGGTAGAGAGCTTCTAATCAAAGGAATCAAACGTTCAGTTGGAAATGGTAAATCAATAAGTGTTTGGACGGATGTTTGGCTGGATGTTGATGGGGGAAGGGCTCCCAGGAGGAGAAATATTTTTTTTGACGTTGATATGATGGTATCGGATCTGATAAATGTAGAGACTAGAAGATGGGATGTCGCAAAGCTTAAGGAAATATTCTTACCGGATGACATAAGGATCATCTTGCAAAACCAGCCAGTCACGTCTGTAAACGATTCTTGGATATGGAAACATTCTGATACTGGAGAGTATGTGGTGAAGTCAGGGTATGAGTTGGCGTTTCATAGTAAACACGAAGTACTGCTCCAAGGTGTCTTATTACAACCGTCCCTGAACAGTCTGAAGGAGAGTGTCTGGTCTCTAGCTACATCCTCCAAGATCAAAAATTTCTTATGGAGAGCTTTAAATGGAGCGTTAGCAGTGGCAGATAAACTTATTGAAAGGAAAATGAAGATTGATGGAAGGTGTCAGATCTGTGGGGAAGAAGGAGAATCAATCAACCATGTTCTTTTTGTTTGTACGATGGCAAGACAAGTGTGGGCTCTATCTGGTGTACCAAATCCACAAGGAGGTTTCAGTGATTCGCGTTTTACAAACTACCAGTATTTGCGTGCAACTGCGGTGAATGGTTATGTGCTGGGTGATATAAAAAGAAGAATTCCATGGATCTTATGGTACATATGGAAGAATCGTAATGCATCCTGCATCGAAGGAAAGCGTTTCTCTACTATGGAATTGATGGACAAAATAATTGAAGAAAGTAAAGCTTGGGAAGAAGCTCAATCGGTGGACATCAATGATGCAAAGGAGGCTCACACTCACACTCAATTAACAAAGTGTAGATGGAGGCCCCCTCCAGATCATTGGCTAAAGTGTAATATTGGGTTTTCCTGGTCAAAGCATAAAAAATTAGTGGGTGCATCATGGATCCTTCGAGATTTTAAAGGAATTACTCTTCTGCACAGTAGAAGGGCGTTTGGGCAAGTGACAAACATAAAAGAAGGAAGTTTTTTGGTTGTTATTTGGGCTATGGAGAGCATAATCAGCCATGGAATCAAAAAGGTAATTTTTGCTTCGGAAGGTGGACAGCTTGTCAATACTGTTGAGAATCTTCAAGGTTGGAGTGCGTACAAGTTCGAAGCGGCAGAAATTAGGCTAATTATGTCCCAGTTTGTGGACTGCAAGTTTGAAAAAAAAGAAACCAAAGCAAACAGGAGAGCTTCGCTCATTGCTCAAAGCGTTTTGGCTCATGATTTTATTCACTCGTATGTAGCAGCTGGTTTTCCCTTTTGGATTGGGGAGGTTCTTGAAGTTGAGCGTGCTATGTGTAAGTGATTTTGTTGGCTGGGGTTTTATTGTTTTCAGTTGTAAGTTTTCTTCATCGCTAAGCTGGGTGGTTTTTGAAAACCCAATTGTTTTGAGTTTTTGGGTTTTTTTTAGAGGCGGTGATGTATAAGGCTCGGTTTGGTAGATCTTTGGTTTTTAGTTTATATCATATTTGGACTATCGGGTTCTACCAAAGTTAATATAATTCAGATGACAAAAAAAAAAACTAGACTAGAAAGAACAATTATGTTAATAATATGTATAATGCAAATACAACTATAATTATTAGTTTTACTTACAGGGTCAATTAATTTCCAACTGAATTTCCAATGCGAACCCCAACGCTCTTAATAAGAGAAATAAAGATTGAAAATTATTAGAGGAAGACTCGCCCTTCGTTACCTATTTAATGACAAATTAATTATCTAACTTTTTTTTTGTTAAAGACTTTCAAAAACTAATTATCTATTTCCGTCGTAATTAATGTGTAACTATATATGTTTACGTGGTCATAATATAGAAGTATTAAAAAAAAACAGGTGCATTTAAGCAGAGAGCATTGAATTTAGAAACACTGTATTAAACCCTCCTTCATCCGCAATGTCTAGAGAAGATAAAACAAATTCAAGTTTTGTCCCAAGGTCATTTATCTCAATTCCTTGGATTCGCTTAAGAGTTACATTATTAAGTAATTAAAGAAATCAAGATTTGTTGAAGAAATTTGGTGATGAACCCAACAACATTCTGCACTCGTTAAAAGTAATAAACCATTAACGAATGTTTTCAAAACTATTGGTAAATACTTGTCATTAACTTGAGGACAGAATCTAAGGAAGAAGAGATGAAAATGACGAATTCAATTGAACTAAGATAAGATATACTAATAAATAAATAATTTAAATTGATGTGCATTTAAATTGAAACCACACAACATAACAACAAGCCACACTCTTCAGTCTTCATTACCAACTCCAGTCTCCATCATTTCATCAAAACCTCAAAAAATCTTTTAAACTAAATTTGCTCTCTGTCTTTCGATAAATAACATCAATTTTGGTCCACATCATCTAAATATTTGACTACTCAGTCTGATTAAATAACAAACAATAAAGAAGCTTTCTTTCTCAAAAGGGTACACAACACACCAATGAAATTACAACATTATTTGACTCTTATTATTTAAGATCAAAAAGTACAAATATATAAAAAAGAGTAAGGAAGTAATAATAATATCACCAAGAGAAAGGGCTTGCTCCTTGCAAAAACACTTCATTCTCCACATCTTTCACCCTTTGACACACTTGATTACATATCTTTATCGCCATCGCCTGCAACATCATTCGATTACTATATAATGGCTTAAGCCAATATAATAACTTTATTATCAGAAAGTTATAAAAGGAATATCACCTTGTCTGCAAGTGGATCAAACGCTGCATAGAGTTCAAAATCTGGTGTAACCCAACATAGAAGAGCTGTGCATTTACCATTATCAGTTTTCAGTATTAAAAAAAAGATTTTTTTCATCTTTAATCAAATGTGTTAAATCCGAAAAACTTACTGTAATTTTCATCTCTTCTGTATTGAGTCTTGTGAGGTCCCAGTCCCTTGTCATGCATTGAAGCATAAAGTTTCTGGTATGCTCGATATAGACTGCAAAACATGAACTACATCAGTATTTTTTTCTCCACTCATAACATTGAGATTCATGAATTTTTTTATTTTTTTTTACCTTTTCTGCTGTCTGTGACTAGTTACTGGAGGTGAGAATTCAGATGAAACGTATTGATCTAAGTATATACTGCGATACATGAAATGCCAAAGTCCAAAGGGACCTCCCGTTCCAACAGACACGTCCGTTAAGCTCTCTGGGTTAGGAGTAGACGACGGTTTCTTTCGAAGCAAGCGGTCTATTGGCAAATCCTCAACACGCATTCCACCTTCAGCGATTGATCTTTGAACCGTACTCAGTATATTCGACTTGAGAAGAACAGCTTCAATGCGAATCCTAACAAAAAATTACAAGTTCCTGGACTTCAATACTAGCTTACATTTTCACGTGCCTCTCGAAACAGTATTAAGCAAAAGCGAATTTTCACCTGCAATCTTTGAGATGATAGAAGGCTTCTGAGCGTGTGGTGAGCAGCATGACATATGTATCATCCTACATCAACGAGAAAGGTTAATATTGCACTACTGTAGATTGAGTTTAAGAAGCTCTTTTTTACAAGTAGTAAGTTATGACTCACATCGAAGAAGTGGACATATGCATGCAAAAAGGCCTGAGCGTTGTATCTTGGTAGGCAGATTGGTGAGAAAGACTCTGATGTCCTGCTAACAGAGAGGAGGTAGTGAGATCAAGTAACACAAAACAAATTGTATGGTTTCACTGTATTGTAGATGGGCTAAACATTTAGCACTTGCCTGAATGATTCTGATGACATGACAAAATTTGAGAGTAGAAGCAAGTCATCGGGATGGAGAGAAGCTTTCTGTGCACCAGCAAGACTGATAACCTACAAGTAAACATACAGTCATTAACTATGATAAGTTTACAGGTTGAGAAACTTTAATCTTGGGACAAGGGCTTCTACCTTGTGTCTGCACATTAGTAGTGCGAATAAGACACCCGACGCGCAAACTTCTTGCAATATTGTCCCTGTAGCTTGCCTTAACGCATACGGAAGAGGAAGACAAGTGTAGGCATGGAGAAACGTAGCTGGATTCCTAAAATAGGGGAATTCATCTCGAAGATTGTTAGAATGTTTCCTACCTGAAGCTTAGAGGTAGACCGAAAAGAAAGAAGATAGATAGACATTATGTTGAAATATATGTCTATCTTCAATTTTATTGCTGGTTTTAAACAGATAAAAAACTGATTCATGAAACGATGTGAGCTTTCCTTAGCAATTCTACTAAAAAACGTGCTCGGTATCCAAAGTTTTCAGATCATAACTTCTAACATAGAGAAAGCACTTCAGCAGCCTCAGTTTCCAATTCATTATTCAGAAACAAAATAACAGGAAAGCAATGTGAAAGGCGGTTGACTTAAAGAGTTGCAAATTAGAGACAAACCAGCTAAATGAATGGACAAGAGATGAGAAGACAGCCTCTGTCCCTCCAAGCAAGGGTGTCATGTCGAACTTTGCATTCTTCTCGAAACATCTGTCTATTGACTTTGTTAAAATTAGTATCATCTGCATCACCGATATTGCATTTTGGTTATTTAGCCCGCTTACTTGAACACAACAACGTTCAAAAGAAAGGATACAGAGCAGCAGACTGTTTTTACCTGACCATATAGAAGATCCAACTGTCCCCTTAGATATTCATATGTTTCATCTGTACAGGAGATGCAGACCAGGTATATTGGCCCCTTCACGAGAAAGACAACCTGAATTTGACCATACACATGAATTATCTCACTAATTAATATGACTTATCTCACTAATTAATATCTCCAATGATAATGTAAGTGAACCAAACTCTTCTCTTAGAGGGTGCAAATGGGTATCTAGTTTGACTCATAAAAAAAGTGGAATGATGCATTTCACTAGAAATACACAAAACTCAATCTGCAATTATGGGGATGAATGAGTGGGATAAATCTATTTATTTGTTTTTCATATTCCATTAACTTATATCCCATTCAATTCTATACACCAATGTACCTGATGAGTAAGCTAATATACACACTACCGCCTAGTTATAAAAATTTATTGCGCAAAGAATTTTGAATACCTGGTGTTTTCCTGCCTTGACTAAATTGACACGGTCGCCACTGAAAAACAATGAGTTAGGTATGAAACCTTAAAGAGAAAAAAATAACAAGGGAAACAAACAGCAGACAAAGCATGTGCGTTTTACCCATTCTCCACAAAAGAAATGATCGCTTGAAGAGTAGCTGAGAATCCAGCAAGCTTATGTTCATCTCCATATCTGAAAGATACAAAAATTAACCAACCATTCTCTAGCTGAATCGCTGATGATTCAATATGAAGAAATGGCTTAAACCTGGAATATATCGGTTTGCCGGAGTTACTCAATACGAAGAAATGCTTCTTCCTCTTTCTCCATGAAACAGAGGCATCATCCTGCGTTTCATATTAAAAGTTTGTTCTCAGAGTTCCATCTTCTGCTGATGAGAAGGTAATCATTATTGATCAGTTCATATGTCTCACTCACTAACATTCCCCACAGTGTTACCAAAACGTTAATACTAAATATCTTGATAAACTCTACTCAAGAACTCCTACAAAGTAGAAACCCAATTTCACTAATTCATCCCTCTTCTCCTCGAAAATCCACGACGTAAATTGATTACTCTCGTCAACAATCAGATAGTAGAGTTAAAAGAGCTAAATCGAGCTCACCTCGTCGACATGGCGTTTTCCGGGCAACCATGCGGCTTCATGCTGCGAGGCAGTGTCACCATCCACATTGGCTTCCCGAATCTCAGTCTCACTGGCGTCATCAGCTTTGTCAGTAGAGGTAGCTCCGCCGCTGCTCCCTCTCTCCCCATCGTAACCGCTGCTCGTCGGGCTCGGCGGCTCCTCCCCTGCCTCCATTTCCACCGGATGCTCCGCCCTTGACGACGCCTCTATTTCCTCATCCCCGCTAGTTCCCGCCAGACCGTTGCTGACTCCGCCTTCGTTCCCGTTGGCCGATGCAACCTCCTCCTCCGCCGGGTCGTCATCGTCATCATCGCCGCCGCCGTAATCGGTGTGACTTCCATCAGAGACTTCGCTTGGCTCAGACAGATTCATTGACTCCAACTGACTCTGCACACGCTCCGAATTCGTCCCCGGATCGGTGCTAGGGTTCGGATCGGCGAATTCGGTGCCGGACGATGAAGGAGATGAGCTCGAATCTGAAGTCATCATTGTTGAATCGGCAGTTACGGATTTTTCAAAGAAGAGAAAGCGAGAGGAGAGAAATTGGTCTCCTCCAACGGCAAGTCGTGTTGTTCATTGAATCTCTCTGCAAAATCACTTTGTCCACTCGCATTGAGGGAGGAGATGATTCACGGATCCACCAGTTGATCCAGATTTTGAGTCGGATATAATTGACCCGACCCGATTAGTGACCCATCTCGTTGGGCCTCTCCTAGTATTAATATAAGATACATTCGAAGAGAGAGAGGGAGGAGCTTCGTTAACTGTATATGGGCCTTGAGCTTATTTTTTCCCCAACAGTAAAAGCCTATGGATGGCGTAACATGCAGTTTTTGCATTCGCGTCAATTCTTTAAATTTTCCTAGATTTACGTCAATTATGTTTCCGACTTTCCGTGATACAATTTTAAAAAGAGGTTTTATGTATTTACAAATAATTAGGTATATTTGCGATACGCTGCAAATTATTATTATTATTTTTTTATTAATTTATTGTTATACTTTGATAAACTGAAAATATATTAAAATGAATATTATATGTATATATTAAAAATATACAAATATATATATATAAAATTATGTTTTAGTTGCATTTTGTGTCATAATCATTATTTATCTAATTTTTTATCAAAGGTGGATGTAAGACAACATATACAGTGGAATGTGCTTATGTGCAATTTTTCAACTTTAGTAATTAGTGTAAAATTTATTTAAATATCCCTGATTCAAATTTAGTTACACACTTATTACTTATAGTTAAAAAAGTTTATGTGCTTTCAACTAAATAAACTCATAAATCCACTCTTAATTTTAATTATTATGAAACTGATTTTCCAAATTATGAGTATTGATGACCATAAAGTGCAAGAGTGCACCTAACCGAATCTCCTCATACCAAGAGCATAATTCACGGTATTATTCTTATTGTCTTAAACTGGCATCCCTCTAAATTAATACAATAATTTACTCAAATGACACCCTACTTAATTTCATCATAGTTTCATATTTTCTAACTTAAAAAATGATTGCTCATCCATCTAGTTATTTTTCTCTAAAACATGTTCAAAGTATCTTATGATCTACCACTTCTTGATTATAGACTTTGTGAACATGTAGGCATATGAATATTATTTAGAATAGTGTTGCAAACTTTAAATTTTTGAAGCTTAATAATAAAACCATCTTAACATTAATTTATGCCACATCATTTAATTTTTTGTGTAAATGTGATTTTCTTGAAAAAATATTTGTATTAGATGTTTGTTGTGGTTAAAGGGACATAAATGGTTATAATGGTGAGTTGAAGTCGAATTAAAACACTATTAGATGCTGGGATGATGTAAAACCATATTGAAGTTATGAATGTAAAACGTCAAGATTGAAATTAACTCTCATATATGTTCATTTTGAACGAAAAATACCTTAAACGTTAAATTTCACAATAAAACTACTCTCTAATATAAAATTTTATTTATTTTATAAAAATCATTTTCATTACTAACTTGTTTTTTTATGTTAATCTGTTTTATAACAAACAGAAATAACCATTTTTCACTTAAGACATGTTCATAAATGTTTGACATATTTTATGGTTCTTACATTTAAATGTTATCAACTTAGGGTTTATCCTTACTGTATCTCATTTGTGAGCTGATATGTTATTTCAATAGTATAATATAAAATATTGATCTTACTCATATATCATCAGAGATTGTCGACAATTATAATATAAATCTAAAATATTGAATCTGAAAGAAAATAAAGATACCAACTATAAAACACTAAAACTTCTCTTTTTCAGTAACTTGATATCTCTTTCTTTTGAACAAACAAAAAAATACCTCTTTCTTCAATCAAAACCATTTTTCTATCATTATTATACAAAACAGTGATCATTTTCCAACATCTGAAGTGAAAGAGTCAAATGGAGATTCTGAAACTATGAGTAGCATGAATTTATCAAGTGACATAAATAGAGGAAGAGATCTAGTGAGATTATACATCTCGTCATATCTTGTGACGACTATGCATCTTTTAGTCTCTTGAGACTTTTTTTAATTGGGTAAGTATCTTCTTCATTAGAGTTCTGCACTGCATTATTAATTTTAAATATTTCAATGATTCTTAGGTTATTTATTAACGTTATTTTTTTAACAGTAATCAACTTAGCGAACTAAATCCAGTAGAAACCTCAACTAAGGCACTATAAATTGGTTCAACTTCTACTTGAAAAACACACATGTGTGTTTGCCTTACAAAGGCTTATGAATAAAAACTGGTTGATACTTAAAAAAAAAATTGATAACAATAGTTAATTATTTTGTGTGTGTGTGTGTTTAGATTTATAATTCTTCCAATAAAATTTCAAATTGGGTCTGGAGAGAAATCAGAGTCTAAAAACAATATAACTTAACACTTCAAAAGATTTACGACGACGACTATACAAGAAGCCTCACACGAGCCCAATCCAAAATTTGGTTTCGTTAAAGAAGGGCCACACTTATTTTTCTTTATCATTCCCGTAGGTTTATTTTTCAGTTTAGTTCGGTCTAGATAATTAGCAAATTTGCTACGGTGAGCAATGCTTTGATGATTGAACGGAGATTACTACTATAGATTGAGGAAACAAAGATTCAAAAGCACAAATACAAAGCTCTTAATTAAAAATACTTTGATGGCTATTACATTATAAACCATCTCTATTTTTTCTACTCATACAACAAACATAGGGTATATATAAGATTTTTGGATATTGTTAAAGATAGAGAGATGCAATTAGCGGTGATGTGTTCGTGCTACATTTAGAGTTTTGTTTTTAGAAAATTACAAACCGAGCCAAGAACATTGCTTCCTCGTATGCTTAGGTAACTTAGCTACCATCTTCAGTGACACACCTTTCAGCTCGGTATCCACAAAATTTTAATTTCTTTTATTTGTTGTTGTTTATTATTTGGGTTGAGTTTGACAAAAAATAAAATAAAGATTTTTTTTTCTGTTATTTATTATTTGGGTTTGGGTTTAGCAAAAGGTAAAATATAATATAATTTTTTTATTTTATGTTATTTATTATTTGGGCTTAGATTTGACAAAAAATAAACTAAAGATTAATAAAAAAATATTTAGGTTTTAATGGGTTTAAGTTAAAAATTAATAAAAATTAGTAGATGATGTGTATTAATGAAAATGTTTTAATTGGTTGTTCATTTTGCTGATGTGTCAGTTTTTGGTAACTTGAAAAAGCTGAGGTGTCAAGCTATGGAGAGACCTTAGTGTTATTGTTGTATTGATGTTTGTGTAGTTTATTAAATTAGACTAAGTTAAGATAACTCTCTAGAAGAAGGATTACAAGAGGTCGCTTGTGGCCCCGTTCTATGCATGTGCTGGGAGTGCATTTGCACAGGATACCCAAATTATAAATTTTGTATTATTTAGTACTAAATTTTAGTAAAAACTTTTATAAGTTAAGGGCCCATTTTTTGTGGAAGGGCCCAAATTATCTGATTCTTTTGTTAAAAAAAATTCTTATTTAGGGGCTTGCTTTCGTGACAGTGCCGGGTCAAGGTAATGATTGAGCCGGGCCTTGCAGTCGCCACAAACTATCGTTGAATTATTTTTTAAATTATGCTAAAAATAAGCAAAACCGTTAAAGTGTTTATTCTGAATGTTGAGGAAAAACACGCTTGATAAAAAGATTAGGACAAGAATTACCTGTTGTAGCTACTCCTTCAAATATCATATTAATCGTAATCGCAGGTGATGGTTGTTTTGCTATGATGCTCCAATGCTTCGATGCTTGAGGAGGGAGCACATACAAGTTTTTTTCACTCCTACATGCAAGGTTCAGTACATGAAACCATTTGGGCAGGATTGGGGACACACATATCCCGTGGAATAAAGGGATTTTACTTGTGGAATTTGAGAATTACAAGAAATATGAAAATTCACACAATAGATTTTGCTTCAGCTGTTAATTGAGAAATCATTATTTGCTTTTACTTCTTGGTATTTTGATACTCAACATTGTTTTCTTTGAAAAAGATTAAGCTAAGTTTTTTTTTATGTTTTGGACATAGTTAATAATCCATTAAACCACTTAATCTTTTTTTTTAGTTACGTCTCACTTTGACATTATAACACATAACACGCATCAAATCATAAGAACTGAAACAAACAAAACATTAAGTTATCATTGTCTCAGCTTAAAAGGTCAAAAAGCTTATAAACCACACATATGTTTTTCAACTACGATGATGAATAAAAAAAGACCGAGAAACAAGAAGATCTTGCTTCGAGTTTAGATCATGTGTAGACCGGTCTCTCGCCTCACCAGTGGATAAGACCAGCAAACATCGAGTGGCTGATCCACGATTGCTGCCTCTAAAGGCTGATTAACAACCCCAAACCAGGGAAAAGTCCAAAATGTCGGCATTAGATTTCTTATGTAATGAAGGAAGAGGCTGTGGTTTGACCGGATTGGTCACCACCGATGGAGAGTGGCCACAGTAATTCATCGGAGAGTGGCCACGCTAATCCATCAGAGAAGATTATTAACGATTGAATGGGGAAAAATATTTGAGAATCAAAGAAAAGATGAAACCACTTGATCTTTGTGTATAAATACTGTATGTAGATCATTTAAGTTGAACAAAAAATCACATTCTCTAAACTATCTAAATTAATATATGGTATCAGAATCCTGATTTGTTCATCCAATTAAAATAGTCCAAATAGGATAAATTGTGATTTATGTAAGATATGTTATCGATCTTATATTAGAATTTGCTTTGAAATACATTTTTAAAAATCTACTACTTAAAAAATCTTTCATTTGTCTTTTACACTAAATAATTTCAAATATTCATCTTTTTCATGATTCTATAATTTACATCTTTTTAGCTTTGAGATCTCATGTTCTTTTCGACCATTGGTCATTCTTTGTACAAAAAAATACTTTTTTACTCTCTTCCACTGAACTGTTCACCAGATAACAAATTGTCACGTAGTTTTTTATTTTTGTATACATTTTAAATGATCAGTATTAGAATGCAGATATTTGATTTAGTCCTTGGTTTACATGAAACTGGTTTGTTCCATACAGATTTAACCTATACTAGGTGATCGGCACGCACCATGTATAGGCTAAAACATGTTATATGTTAAAAATAAAAAGAAAATTGTAAATCAAAAATTATTTTAT